CCCCAAACCCCCAAAACCCCAAAACCCCAAAACCCCTCAACTGTCGAAAGTAATTGCCTATAAATAAAACAAATCCGAACAAATATAATTATTTTCAATGAATTTGTTCACAGCTGAAAAACCTGATTTTGAGTTCTCCAACTCCTACTTCTTCGATAGCCAACATTCCAGCATTGAGGAGAGCTTGTTCATGGTCAGTGCCCAAGTGACCAAGGAGAATGACTCTGAGACTAACACTGTAGAGAAGCCACAAGCTGAGGCAGCCAAGCAAGATCAGACTAAGATAAATGCTAAAGTCAAGAATAGGGTTAAAAGAAAGAAACTTACTAAGCTTGAGAGGGAGATTAATAAGAGAGAAAAAGATAGACAGAGAGCTAAGAGGAATAGAGATAAGAAGAAAGAACAATTTAAGAGTCTCCAGAGTCAGCTAGATGAAGCATATGATATTGTTAAAGCTAAGGAACAGAAGATCAGAGAGCTTGAGAGTAAATTGGCTCGTATGGAACAAACCGAGGTGTCTCTTTTCTAACACCTCAGAGTGTTCAGTTGCCTTAAAAATTTAATTTATAATAAACCTTCACTGAAAGTGCTCTTCGGGGATACATGGTCTTTAGCATTCTCAGTACTTTTGTCAATCTAAAAGTAAAGGTAAGACTAAGTTATCATAGAAGTATTCAAATCTGAACAGAAATATCCTCAGAAGTTACAGATTAATTTATACTGATTCTCAAAAATTTAAACTATACATAATAACCCAGACTGTAACTAAGAAGATAAGGATATCTTAGCACTGAATAACGATATGATTAGCTTATTGGCATGCAACATATCTGATATCTATTCGCTTTAAAGTGACAGAAATCTCCACAAAATTGAATTTTTGGATTTCAAATTAGATTCTTAAAGGTGATAAAGCATCAACTACCAGTAATGATTAAATTAAAAATTTCTTGTAGAAATTGGATAAATTTTTCCAGACTTCTCAGAAATTATGATCAAGTTCTCCTAAGTCCAAACCAGGGGTTCCCCATAAAACACGCAATTAAAACACTAAAATTCCGCATTTAAATTAATCCTACTTAATAATCATATTTTTGAATGGAGAGCACATCCGATAAGTAATCTTTAGAAACGAAGGTATTAAAAATTCCAAAATTAGTATTCTTATAAAAGTGTTATTAATTCGAATCTGCTCACCCCTCGAGAATGGTATTTGGATGACAAACCAGGAAAATTTGTAAGTACAGACATTTGATGAGAAATTAGTAAAGATGCTATAAGTTCCAGTGGTAAAAGCTTTTACCTCGGAAATTATAGACAAATTTCGTTTGACACATGGTGAAACATAAAACATCATTACTGAGGATTGTTATTACTTTCAGCTATTTTCCATGATTAGTGTCTAAATCAGTATTAATTCCGAACAAATTTTGAACCCAATAACCCTTAAAATATTGAAAGAGGCTGGGCAGACTGTGAAGCTATAACCTAGTGGGCTCTATAATACCTATTATAGTTTTAATTTTCTCTTTTTTGTACTATCATCAAAATTTTGGCATCTTAAGCTCAATTTAGCCTATTGAAACGCTTTCAACGACTGGGAGTTATAAAAATTTTCATACAGTTACACTTTCTAGCCAGGGAGAAAACCCAAACGTAACTGTAAATGGGGTTGGTATAAGCTAGCGAGATTATTTCCTGAAGGAAATTAGGGGTCTCACGAGGTCTGGTACCATCCATCTAACATTTTTCAAAATAATAATCGTTTTCGGCATCAGAAAATAAGGAAAGTCTTTTATCCATGGAAAATATCAAGGATCGAACGGCAATGGCGGCTTTAGATCTAAATTAGTAGTAATAAAGTTGGAGAGAAGTGGTGAGTGTCTATAATTGGAGATGGAGGGATGCATCTAGACATATCATGCAAAAATTTATTTTTGGTAAATTAGCGAACGACCATATTACAAAAGTGCTCTTCGTTTGACACAAATCCGTTCTTTGATTATTTATTGGTTTAGTATAAGTTTTATTGATGAAATTAATGATGCTCGTGTGTTGCTTAAAATGATTATGATAGTCATCTTTTGTGACATTAACACTCAGTGCCTCTCAGAATCTTTATTTATACTCTAAAAAGCATACCCACAAAAAGTACTTCTTTTCTATCTGGTTACTCTAAAACAAAGACCAAAACCTCAAGACAATTTGATAATCCTTTAAAACCATAATTATCAAAGGATACTGTGCCAAGTTTGGCAGGTATCCTACCATTCTCACTAACTCCGCTCAATTACGATATAACTTAATGCAGAATTCAATTGACTGTACAAGACCAGGGGTTTTGGGGTTTTGGGGTTTTGGGGTTTTGGGG